GTCAGTTTTTGAGAAGGTTCCATGAGATGCTGAGAAGAAGGTGGATTCTTTTCTGTTTGGATAAGAGTATTTTATAGATGTCTGTTAAGTCTATTTAAGTCAAACACCTGTTCTCTTATTTCTCTGTTCATTTTTGTCCGACTGACCTTTCCAGTGGTGAGAGTGGAGTGTTGGAAGTCTCCTACTATTAGTCTGTATGGTTTAATATATGATTTAAGCTTAGAAGTGTTTCTTTTACATATGAGGGTCCCCTTTTATTTGGGGTATAGATGTTCAGTATTGATATTTCTTCTTGATGGATTTTTCCTGTGACTAATATGACCTTCTTTGTCTCTTTTGACTGATTTTAGCTTGAATTCTATTTTGTTAGATATTAATGACCAGTGATTGCTATCTCTTGTTAGTTTACTTTTCATTGTTGGTAATGTTAATTTGTGTGGTTTTTTTTCTTCTTTGGGATTTGCTGCTATGAGACCATCAATTGTCTGTGTTTTTGTTGGTGTAGCCAACTTCCTTGGGTGGGAGTTTTCCTTCTAATATTTTGTGTAGGGCTGGGTTTGTAGCTAGGTATTGGTGAAATCTAGTTTTGTCATGAAATATCTTGTTTTGCCTTTCTATGGTGATTTTAAGTTTTACTGGGTATAATAGTCTGGGCTGGCATCCATGGTCTCTTAATGTCTGCATAACACTTGACCATAACCTTATAGCTTTCATTGTCTCCAATGAGAAGTCAGGTGTAATTCTGATAGGTCTACCTTTATATGTTACTTGGCCTTTTTCCTTTGCAGCTCTTAATATTCTTTCTTTACTTTGTATGTTTATTGTTTTGATTATTTGGCGAGAGGACTTTTTTTTTTATCCAGTGTATTTGTTGCTCTGTAAGCTTCTTGTATCTTCATAGGCATATCTTTCTTTAGGTTGGGAGCGTTTTCTTCTATGATTTTGTTAAATATATTTTATGTGCTTTTGAGTTGAACTACTTCTCCTTCTTCTATACCTATTCTTAGATTTCCTTTTCATAGGGTTCCATATTTCCTAGCTATTTTGGGTTAAGCTTTTGTTAGATTTAATGTTTTCTTTAACTGATTCTATTTCCTCTACTGTATCTTCAGTACTTAAGATTCTCTCTTCCATCTCTTGTATTCTGCTGTTCGTGCTTGTTTTTGTGGTTCATGATCTTTTTTCCTGATTTCTGTTTCTATAATTCCCATGACTTGTGTTTTCTGTATTATCTCTATTTCAGTTTCCAAGTCTTGAATAATTTCTTTCATATGTTTGATTTCTTTTTCTTGGTTTTCCCTGAGGGATTTGCTGATGTCTTCCAATTTTTTATTTGTCTTTAATCCATTTCTTTAAGGGAATTTCTCATTTCCTCTTTAAGAGTTTCAGACATTCTCTTGAAGTTATTTTGTAGGTCATTTTCATCTGCTTCATCTATATTTGGTTTTGTTCAAGTCTTGCTGTTGTAGGATCTTTAGGTTTTACTGGTGTTGTGTTGCTCTTTGTGGTATAGTGTGTGTTCTTACTTTCTCTACTCATCTTTTCTTCTAATAGGTATAGTTGGGGCTGTCTGAGATTCTGTTGATTAATCTTCTAGGTGCCAAAGAATCCTAAGCTCAGATGGTTGTTCCTTGTGGTACAGTTAGTGCCACAGTTCTAGTTTACCCATTGGTTACTCTTGTTCCTGGAGATAGCTCAGTGCTCCTGTGTTTTTCTCTGCTCCCTTGGAGTTTTTGTCTCAGGCCCACTAGGTTACAGGCTTTTATCTGTTTCTGTAAATCCTGGTCTGGATCCCCTCCTGTGGATGTCCCTTGCTTGGAGTTGGTCCTGCAAAGGTTTTTGGCTCCGGTCTAGTGCCTCGGAGTTCCCAGGCTCGAGTGCGCCCGGAAACGCAGAGGACCTGACTCAGGCTTACTCCCTCAGTGGTCCCAGTCTTACGCTTGGACCCGCAGAGGTTCCAGGTTCCTGCCTATTGCCTTTGATGTCCCAGACCAATGCCCAGGCCCACAGAGGTCCTGGCTAAGGCCTAGTCCCTCTGAGGTCCCAGACTCATGCCTATACTGGTAGAGGTCCTGGCTTAGATCCGCTCCCTTGATTCACGTCGTGACTCTCAGCAGTCTCTGGCTCTGGCTCACTTGTTCAGAAGTTACTCCCCAGTACCTGTTCCAGTAGAGATTGCTTACTCTGGATCTTGGACATAATTTTTATGGCATACATATTACCTTCGTGGACAGACACCCTATCCTTAAATCTATCATAACTGTTTAACAGATTTTTCTTAATACATTCAACAGCATGAATTCTCTTAGACAGTGTCTCTTCACCCTTCCATCATTGACTAGGTTTTGTCCATCAAATTCATCATATTCTTCTCCAGAGTGCCGATTTTTCCTTTTAGCTGGTCATTATCAGTCTTAAATTGCCTCTGTTATCAAACCATTTTTAAAGGAGAAAATATGAAATACAAAGCTAATCCCTGGAATAAAATATAGGGATGTAGGATGGAAATCACATAAGCCTTGCATAATGCCATACATAGTATTAGTTAAAAAACTGTTGTCTTGCATTGATAAATTATTTGTTATGGTGAAATTATATAAGGTATATTGAATTGAAGTTTGTGCAATAACTGTTACCGACCAACAGGTGTCGCAGTTGTATCTGCGTGGTCAGAAAATCCTAGCCAAGAACTTTTCAAATTGATTTAACCCATTAGATACTGAAAGATCTTAAATTAGAATCAGTTATTAAAGTGATCAAAGTGATTTTGAGAGTTGGTGACCAGGATAAAGAGAAAATCCAGAACCTTCCATCAGTACAAAACCCATGCTGCTCCCTCTGTGGCAGCAGCATGGGTTCTGGAGGGACAGGAAGGCAGCAATGCCAACAGAGACAACCAGGGAATCCCATACCCTACCTGTACCTTTGAGACGCCCGGGAAGCCAGACCCAGAGCTGCTCCCGGATGCCACTTAGGCCAGAGATTGCTGTAGAGCCATGCACAAGGAGGGTCAGTGCCCAAATACCTACGTGTGACCCAGTGGTGGCTGACTGGAGCTGTGGGGATTCCAAAATGTGGATGTAATGGTCCCCAAGCCAACTGTTGAAGGACACGGGTCAAAGAATCCCAGGCTAACTTCAAGATATACCAATTATATTCTTCTTTATTATAAGGGGCAAATTCATGAAACAGGAATGAGAAGTCCAACCTCAGCTGTGTAGCATGGGAACTACAGAGAGAACTGTGGATGGGCCAGTGATTTTCTCCAAGTACCCAAAAGGTCACGCCTTAACCTGGTCTAACCTCTTAAAGATCATTGGCTAACAAAGATTCCCCATCAAAATGACTTTATTCTTACCCTTGGCATGCAATCTATTCCTTATAGAGATAACTGGTATTTTGTTTAAACCTTTTTATGGTTGGTGTATCTATTTTTGCCTAATTTAATGGACTGATTTTATATTTTCTAGGTTTTTGGTAGTCTTTATATTTTATTTTTAATCTTTGAGTTAAAAAAATGTACATGATTTTAGGAACGCTAATGTGAAATTGATGCTCCAGATCATTTAGACAGAGAGAACAGAGAGAAAATTCTTTGTACTTTTATTTTGGCCACTAAAATTTGAGCATTGTAATAGACGAAACTCAGGGCCTCTACTCTGCTACTGAGCTACATCTCTAGTCCTTGTTATTTAAATATGGCCTTAGTATATAGCCTGGGGTGGCCTTGAACACTTGTTCCTTCGGTCTGTACCTTCCTAGTTCTGAGCCACCACACTAATCAGGAATCTAATCTAGCCCTTGCTTGATGTTTTTCCCTTCTTCTTCCCCTCCCCTTCCCCCTCCCCTCTCCTTCCTCCCTCCCCTCCTCTTCTTCCCCTCTCTCTCTCTCTCTCTCTTGATAGAGCTCCAGGCCAGTCAAAGCTATTTATAGTTAAACCTTGTTTTGGGATGGGGGAGGAAGAGAGAGAGGGAGGGGAATGAGGGTAAAGGAAGTGTCATATAAGTTAATATACAGAAAAAGAGTTCTGTACCACAGTTGTTTCTAATTAAGTCTATTTTTTATTTTGCTGGACTTTTGTACCTTTATTATTATTACAGAAATAATATAGCATCTATTCTAAGATTGATACAGTCAGGTTCAAGGGCATATGCCTGTTATCCCAGTTTTTGAGATAGGTAAGACAGATAGAAGGATTGCAATTTTAAGGGCAGCTTAGGCAACATAGAAAAGACCCTAGGGTGGTGGGAGGGGATGGATATAGATGAACATAGATAGTAATCAGAGAACAAAACTGCTTTCGTTGTCAATGTGGCAATTTCTCAAAAAATTAGGAAGCAACCTTCCTCAAGACCCAGTAATACTACTTTTGGGTTATCTATCCAAAGGATACTCAATCATGCCACAGGACATGTGCTCAACTATGTTCATAGCAGCTTTGTTTGTCATAGCCAGAACCTGGAAACAACCTAAATGTCCCTCAACCGAAGAATGGATAAGGAAATGTGGTACATTTATACAATGGAGTACTATAAAACAGAGAAAAATAACGACATCTTGAATTTTGCAGGAAAATGGATGGAGGTAGAAAACATCATTTTGAATGAGGTAACTCTCACTCAAATAGAAAGACAATTATCACACTCAGAGGTGGTTTTTAAACATAAAGAAAACCAGCTCACAAATCAATCCTAGAGAACCTAGACAACAATTGGACCCTAAGAGAAACAAACATAGGTCTAATCTGCATGAGAAGTAGAAAAAGACAAGATCTCCTGAGTAAATTGGGAGCATGGGGACCTTGGGAGAGGGTTGAAGGGGAGTGATGAGGTATGAAAGGGAGCAAGGAAAAATGTAGAACTCAATGAAAATAATAATAAAAAAAACCTGGTCTCATAGTCTTTTCTTGAATTTTATTAACCAAATAGTTTTCAATATTTAATATTCCAACAAATTTAATCACTGAAAATATGCTTTGATACGTTGTCTTCCCCTCCAGGAAGTATTTAAAGAAAGAATTGGCTATATGCATATGTTTGAGGTATTAAAATCTTTGGGTCAGCCATCACTAGAACTGCTGAAAGAACTTATGAATATGGTAAGTTTTTTAACCATTATGATGTGAAGTTCCTTTGTTTTAACTTTAAGGATAGTAACTAACCTTTTACTTCTGTGTCACTTTTCAGGCTGCAGAAGGTGATCATACTTCAGTTGGAATTTTGGGCATTTGTAATGTCCATCCTCTCTTGGTTCTTATCCAATGGCTTCCGGAGCTAGAATCACATGACCTACAAATATTCATCTCAGATTGGCTGAAAAAAATTTGTTGTATTAATAAACAGAGCCGAACTATGTGTGTGAATGCGAACATGGGAATAAGAATCATTGAAACTCTTGAATCCCATTCTTCCCTACATCGAACTTGTGCTGAGAACTTGATAACAATTCATGGTTCATTGGGGAGTCTGTCTGTGAGTTCAGAAGAAATCCGTCGACTACTACGATTGCTGAGAGTAGATGAATCTGAGTTTATTCATCCGTATACCATTCCTGTGACTCGTGCAATTCTGACAATGGCACGGAAACTCAATCTGGAGAGTGCACTGCAGTATTTTAATTTGTCACATAGTATGGCAGGAATTTCTGTGCCTGCCATTCAGAAATGGCCTGGGTCTGCATTTTCCTTCTCTGCTTGGTTTTGCTTAGATCAGGATCAATTACCCCTTAACACTGCTAACAAAGGAGGAAAAAGGAAACAATTATATAGGTAATGGTACAAATTGTGGAATATGAATGAAGATGTCAAAAAAAATGAAGATTTTTAAGTAGGATAAAGTATCGATAACAGTTTATATGAAATTTTTTTATCTTGTGCCTGTATATAGTTTAGAAGTGCTTTATTGCTTTCAAAATAATTCTGTATTTTGTATATTTTCTGGCTAAATGCTGAGTAACTTTAGGAAGCAAAAATGAAAGTAGTGTAAAAGTGGAGAAGAAATAGTAAACTGTCCACTGAAGGAGCTGTGTTCTCGTCAAACATTCAGGCCTCAGTAGCTAATTATTTTTAATATGCCTTATGATTATTAAAACTTTTATGTGTGCTTTCTGGATGTTTGGAAGAGTTTAAAAGATTTGAAATTTGTGGTTTTGTTCTAGCTCAGAAGTTCTCACCCTGTGGGTTGTGAGTCCTTTGGGGGGCATCGAAGGACCCTTTCACAAGGGTCACCTAAAACCATTAGAAAACACAGATAATTATATTTGCTTTGTAACAGTAGCAAAATTACAGTTATGTAGTAGCACTGAAAATAATTTTATAGCTAGGGGTCACTACGACATGAACTCTATATTAAAGGATCACGGCATCAGGAACGTTGAAAACCACTGCTCTGGCTTGATAGTGGAATCCCACTTCCAGGGTTACCTTTTATATTTTTTAACTTCTATGCCAAAAATGGATTTAAAAAAAAAATGACTGAAACCAAGTCTGTTGTATAGCAATAGCGTTAAGACTGCAGCATTGCTGATAAAGGTATTTGTAATCACATTATATGTTCACGATGGTGAACTTCAATGATGAAGAGACTTGTCTACTTTATTTCAGAGGTTCTGATAACATATATTTTTGTTAGTTTTTTTACAGGAAGTGGAATGGGTTTTGAAGCTTTTATTACTCACTCAGGTATGTTGGTTGTGGCAGTGTGCACAAAAAGAGAATATGCAACAGTTATGCTTCCTGACCACAGTTTCTGTGATTCTCTCTGGGTAAGACTTCAGGATGCCACATCAAACTCTTCATTCTGTCTTTCCTTTAAGATGTATAACGTTGCCCACCTTTAATCCCAGCACTCCGAAGGCAGAGGCAGGCGACTCTCTGTGAGTTCCAAGGCCAGCCTGGTCCACAAGAGCTAGTTTTAGGACAGGCTCCGAAGCTATAAAGAAACCCTGTCTCAAAAAAGAAGTATAACAGTTTGATGCATTTATAAGAGGAGGTTTTGTCTGCCAGTATTCATTTCTAATGAATTAATGTTAAATCAATGTATTTTTGTTGCTTACCTCAAAAATATAAAATGGTTCTCCTTGAAGAAAATAATTTTAAGAATATTTAGAACCTTAGAAAATGGAGAAGAAACATATTTTTTGTGAGTCTTCTGATAAAAGCTTAATTGTTTTATAGTACATAAAGATTGTTACTTGTTTTGAGAACATCATTGAGTCAGCATTTTAGCTTTCCTTAATATTTTTTGTTCGCACAGATTATGAAGTAGTAATCTGTAAGCATATGTCATTGCAAAGACATGATGTAATTTTAGTCATTTTAATATGTGCTTTACTTCATTAGCACAACATAACCATTGTTCATATGCCTGGGAAAAGGCCCTTTGGTCAGAGTATTGTCTATATCTATGACAATGGACAACAAAAGGTTTCTGCTCCTCTCAGATTTCCTGCCATGAATGAGGTCAGTATATGTAGCTTCTTTGTTGTTTTTTTTTTTTGTGACCCTAATTGATTGCAAAATGCTGAGAATATTTAGAAAATATATTCTAAATATTTTCCTAAAATGCTATGATATACTTTTCTATCTCTCTTAAATATCTTTGTTAAATTTGAACTAGTCATGAAGTAGCTTCAAGCTTTATTCTCCACGAAGGTTAAGAAAGCTTTTTGAGATTGGCTAATTTAAGAAAGTCTTCTGGATGAAGTAGAATATTTGTCAGTATAATTTTCCTAGTAAGTTTCTTATTTTTCATCATGACTATTGAAGGTAACTTTTAATTAACATTATACTGTTACATAATACTCAATAAATTTTATAGGGGAAAGTAATTATCTCTATTTTAGATAATAGTAAAGCTCTTTTAACTTTCAAAATAATACCCATTGCCAGACAGTAGTGAATCCCAACACTCAGGAGGCAGAGGCAGGCAGATCTCTGTGAGTTCAAGGCCAGCCTGGTCTAGAAGAGCTAGTTCCAGGACATGCTCCAAAGCTTAAAAAAAAACAACAAAAAGCAAAACCAAAACCCTGTCTCAAAAAAAACAAACAAAAAATAATATCTCAGTTAAAAATAAATTTGATGTTGATGTCTTAGGTATATACTTCCCTATATGTATTGTGATCCAGTTGAAAAATTGACTTCCACTTCTATTTTCAAAGTGTTTGTTTGCTTGCTTTTATATAAATGACTTGCTCTTATTTTTACTTAATTTTGAAGTTTAGTTGTTTATCTTTCTATTGATTGGTATCAAACTCAAGCTTCATACATGCTAGACAAGTATTTTACCATGGAGCTGCATGTTCAACTCCATAGTATTTCAGTTCATTGTTTAGTTTTGTGTTTTTTGAATAGGGTCTTATTATCAGCTCATGATTCCTTTGCCTTGGCCTTCACCAATGCCAGGACTTAAGTATGTGCCACCAACTTTACACTGTTTAAATGTGAAGAGAGATTTATTTCAAGTTGTATGATTTTAAATACTTTTTGTCATTTTTTGTTTAATTTTTAGCCATTTACTTCCTGTTGTATTGGTTCAGCTGGGCAAAGAACCACTACTCCTCCACCATCTCAAATCCCAGATCCACCATTTTCTACTCCCATAACCCCTCACCGGACATCATTTGGTGGAATATTGTCATCAGCCTCCTGGGGTGGAGCAATTGAAAAATCAAGATTAATTACCAAATTAATTTCAGCTGGAACTCAAGATAGTGAATGGGGTTGCCCCACATCCTTGGAAGGCCAGCTAGGTTCTGTTATTGTATTCCATGAAGTACTCCAGCCTTCACAGGTCAAGGCCTTATATTTAGCAGGTAAGCATATACAGTCACGGTACTTAGCATTGTCTCTCCCCCAGCCCCCTTTTGTCTGAATGCATCCTAAAGAGTTATTTGATTTGAAGAATCTATTCATCAGTTCATTCACTGATTCATTCAGTCAGTCAGTCAGTCAGTCATATTTCCGGGATCTAGCACATAATAAACACTGAACTGCATTATAGACCTGTGGTTGTTTTAATTGGAACTGAAAAGAAAAGTCTGTTGTGTACTATACTTTTCTTGTAGGCATAACTAAAACTAGCATTTAGGAAATAAAGATTTACTTTTGTATTTGTATGTTTGTGTGCATCTTTGTCGGTTCATGTGCACCATGTGTGTGCATGTGTCCTGACAGGCCAGAGGGAATCAGATCTCCTAGAAATGGAGTTAAAGGCAATTGGGAACTACTTGGTAAGTGTGCAGAGAACCTAACCCAGATCCTGTGCAAGAGCAGTAAGCACTCTTAACCACTGAGCCATCTTTCTAGCCCCATTTTGGGAAATACTTAAATTTCTTAATTATTGAAACTACTGCCTATGTTAGTCTCCTGGGATCACCATAACAAGTTACTACAGCCTGCATCTTCAATCACCAGAATTCATTTTCCAGGATTAAGGTAATATGAATATTGTTTTCTAGTGAGGCTTCTCTTGGTTTTGTGTCTTCTTACTGTAATCTCAATTTGATCTTTCCTCTACATGTATTTGGGCAGAGAAAAAGATCAGATCTCTACAGTGTCTCTTCCTTTTCTTATAAGGGACCCTGTCAGATTAGAACCCTATTCTTATGATATCATTTAACTTCGGTTTTTTATTTAAGGACTCTAATTACAATACAGTCATATTGGAAATTATGTTTTTAAAGTGAATTTTAAGGTCATTCAGTTCTGTCTGTAACACTGTTGGTTCTTTTGACAGATGTTAATGAGTCAATGAAATCAAATATAAGCCTATCAATATAAATGATATAACTAATTCCAAAATCATGAGTCTTATTACAGAACTTTTTTATAAGTCACTTTTTTATAATTCATGTGTTAATATACCTGAAGAATTTCTGATGGCAGGACACTTAGGTAATCTTGGATAGCATTATAAATGTTCTTGGCTTTTTTTCCCCTTTTGACTGTGATTTTTAATATAATATAGTAATTACTATATAATTCTAACATACAGTTTTATAGTTGTAGTCTATCAGAATATTTGAAATTTAAATATTTTAAGAGTCATGGACATAATTCTGCAGTGTAGCTTGTTTTTCATAAAATATCCTGCTCAGTGGGTCCTAGGAGCTTTTGGGCCAGCCACCCTAGCTAAAATGATGAACTTCAGGTAAAATAAAAGACCTATTTAAAAAAATAAGGTGGCTGCACTTTTGACACACATTGGGTTATGCTTAGTAAGCAGAGGCAAAGGAGGAGAAAGATAGAGGAAGACAGTAAATATCTTTCTTTGGCCTCATGAGCACATGTACTTAAACACATGTGCACATATTCCCCCCCATACACATTCATGTTTTTCTTTCATTATATGTCTGATGAAACCTTGTTTTAGCTTACATTTTAGTTGCAAATGAAATTGACCACTGTTACCTATTTACAGTACTTGAACTGTTACCTACTTTTCATTTCTCTGCTTTCTGTTCAGATTGAATTTTTTTCTTTCTTTCTTTTTTTTTTTTTTTTTTTTTAGGATAGAGTCCTATCAGATAGCCCTGGCTAGCCTTGAATTTACAGAGATCTGCTTGCTTCTGCCTTCTGAGTGCTAGGATTAAAGTTGTGTGCCTCCATGCTCATTATCATATTTTTAATGTTTTTATATTTTATTCTTTTGAATTTATTTACATTTAATAAAGCAAATACAGTTTTTGTATTTTATAATATTTTCATAATGCTACATCCAATGTCCTTTCTACAGCAGAGATTAACCATCTCCCTAAATTTTTTAGGTTTTGGAAAAATGTACAGGTGACATAAAACTAAAGTACATGTTACACAGCATGTTTGAGCTATGTTATTTGAGTAGTTAGAAGCATCTTGATTTTAAATTTTATTCTGGTCACATAGAACTAAGGATACCACGTATGTATGGTGTGTGTATGTAACTCATTTTCAGGTCCAAATTGCTTAAGCCCTTGGAAGTGTCAAGACTATGATATGGCCAGCCTGCCAAGTAACATCCTCCTTCAGTACACAGCAAAGGTAAGAGTAAATGCATAGATTGTCCATATTTGTAACTGCTTGAATTCATCATTTTATTCCTTTTGTCATTTCAGTTGGCAATTGAGGAGGGGCTTCCATCATGTTGTTTAAAAAATTGTTTTTTGTTTTGTTTTTGTTTTTTAAAGTAAGCTGGTAAGCAACAAAAGTTGAGGCAGAATTCCTCAACTAGAGTTCAGGTGCTGTGTCATTCTACTAGTGTGAATTGAACTAGTTTCAGGAGTTTGTCTGAGTTGGTTTTAGTGAAAGAAACCTTTTAAATTTGTATTTCTCTAGTTATATGAAGAAAGAGGTAAAACAGTCATACTCAAACCTTGGTTCACTTTTTAAGATGTGATGTTGAGGGAAGAAGAGATGTTTTCTAAAGGACAGAAAAACCTTTTGGCATACCTGCCATGTCTAGTTATTTTCCTTCAAAGACCTAGTTATCAAAAATAAATTGGAACTAAAACTGAAGGAAAAAAGACCTAAGATAGAATTGGGAGGAAGAAAGCAGAGAAGTGTCACAAACAGTCTCCATCATATTTGATGTTCCATTGACACAGAAAGTACTTTTATTGTGAGATAATATAGAGCATCCTGTTCTAGTTTAGCAACCTGGTACATGATCATACTATTATTTGTTACATCTGACATAATAAAATAAGATTCTATGTTCTGTCAGCTTTGTATGTTAATAAATTTCAAACCTTAGAAGTTATTAAAAAAGATAATAGTATAATAATCCTAAATTAGCAAATTGTTAACATTTTGTTGTATTTGATGACCTTTCTCAGGTCATTTGTAAGAGCGTCTTGCTATAGCTATAAAACTTTGTCCCTGGGTGGTTTTACAGTTACTTACATTAGTGAGTTTTCAATTTTGCCTAAAATACTTATTACCAAAAATTAGTTTTGGTCCAGTCAGGATCCATGTACTTTCTCCAACAGTATGTTTATTTACCAAACCATAATAACCTTCTTAACTGGCAACTTCTAGTCTTTACTCTCCTATTTAGTCTCTAGTATGTAGCACAGATAACTAGGAAATCATTGGATCTAATCCAAATAGTATACTGATTAATATATTCTTTTGTTTTGTTTTGGTTTTTGGTTTTTCAAGACAGGGTTTCCCTGTGTAATAGTCCTAGCTGTCCTGGAACTAGCTCTTGTAGACCAGTCTGGCCTCGAACTTAAAGGGATTCACCTGCCTCTGCCTCCTGAGTGCTGGGATTAAAGGCCGGCCGGGCATCTGGTTTTTATTATTATGGTTGTCATCTTTTTACAAAATAATTTTTAATTTAGTGTTACTAAGATTATATTTTTGTGACTGCTTTTTTGTTTGTTTCTTTGCTTTGTTCTTGTTTTTTGAGACAGGTTTTCTCCTTGCAGTTCTGGCTGTCCTGCAACTCACTCTGTAGAACAGACTAACCTCAAACTCACAGAGATCTGCCTGCTTCTGCCTCCTGAGTTCTGGGACTAAAGGTGTGCACCACCACTGTCCAACTTGTGACAGATAATTTTTTAAAAATCTATACTATTAAATATTAGTTATTGTCTTATTTTCCCCCAAGAAATGTAATTAATATATAGACAAATTAGTTTATTGAAGTTGTGTTCCTCTAAAACGGTGTACATAATGATGCACGTCTTTAGAGTGAGTTCGTGGAGCTCTTGCATTCTTCATATCCTTTTTGGAGACTAATGACAGCTTTAAAAATCATACTGTAAGAGTAGATTCTAGTTGGTTTAATGTCTTTCACCAGCTTTTTGAACACTATTAAAAAATAACTCAAGTATTAATAAATGCTAATTTGTTAAGTGGTACTTTGAAAACTCTTCACTAGTCAACTGTTTCTCATTCTTGTCCTTATTTGTCGCAGATGTTTAGTCATCTTTTTTTAAAAATTCAGTCTTGTCTTTGTGCCAAGAACTGAAAGCAGTGACATACTTTTGATAAATAAGTGCTTTAGAATTTAGATTTAGTCTCTGACTTTTTTTTGAGACTTTAATAACTTGAGATGTCTCAGTAGGTAAAGTATTTGATGTCTAAATATAAGTTTGGACCCCCAAACACCCATATGTGTGCCTCTAACCCCAATGGAGGGTCCTTGACAAGTAAAGAGATTGCTTGTCAGTAGTATAGCTAATTGGTGATCTCTAGATCCAGTGAGAGAGACTGTCTCAAAGAAGAAGGTAGAGAGTGATTAAAGACATCCAAGATGTGATGAGTACATTTGACCTCCACAGACATAGACCCGATTGTATGCCCCACACAGATGTGTGTGTGCATGCGCTCACACACACACACAAAAACACACACACACAGAGAAAGAGAGAGAGAGAGAGAGAGCAGTAAAAGGCAAATGCTAGGCAAGTTATTGATTTTATTGTGTACTTTTAAAATTATGATGAAACACTCTATGTAATTAAAGTTATGTTTTGTTCTAATTTCACTAAGATGCTGTTTTTTTCCTTTGTTCTTAGGCTTGCAAAAATTCAATTTGCCTTGACTTGTCTACTAATTGTTTGCATGGAAGATTAACAGGAAACAAAGTAGTGAATTGGGACATTAAAGTAAGTTAATACTAATATATTATAGGCAACCTAATATAATTTAATGTAGTAGGGAGTGGGCCTCTTGTTTGTCCCGGCCACCCCGCTAGCTTACACCCAAAATAATCATACAGAAACTGTATACATTTAAACACTGCCTGGCCTATTAGCTCTAGCCTCTTATGGCTAACTCTTACATCTTGATTCAACCCATTTTTAATAATCTGTGTAGCACCACGAGGTCATGGCTTACCAGGAAAGATTCTAACCAGCGTCAGTCTCAGGCAGGAGCTTCATGGTGTGTGCCACTCTGCCCCTCTTCCCAGCATTCTGTTCTATCTACTTCGCCTATCTAAGTGCTGCCCTATCAAAAGGACAAGGCAGTTTCTTTATTCAACCAATGAAAGCAACACATAGACAGAAGAACCTCCTACACCAATTTAATTTAATTTGAATTTGAATCTTTTTTTTTTCAATGTTACAAACTGGATCTAGGCCATTTTGTATTCTGGGCAACTGCTTTACTACTGAACCAACTTCCTAGGCCCTGAATGATGAGGAGGGGGCCAGGGGAGGTGCATGCATGTATATGCTGTTAGAAATCTATTCATCTTCACTAGTTGCATGGATTGGACTGAAGTCTTGCCTTTTAGGCCTACCTTAGTCAGTGAGCTCTCAGGATCACCGTGTCTCTGTTCTTGTGCTACAGTTTTCAGGCAGTCATGCTCTGAGTTTTACATGGGTGTTTGGAATTTGTATTCAGACCTTAGGTTCTCATGCTTGCAAAATAAGAACTCTTATCCACTGAGCCATCCAACCTGCTCAGTGAGATGTCCCAGGTTTTATCTTTTAAAATTTTATGTAACACTGGACATAGTGATGCATGCCTTTAATCCCAGTACTCAGGAGGCAGCGCAAGACAGATCTCTTTGAGTTTGTGTTCAGCCTGCTCTTTATAGGCATTTTAGAATGACCAAGGCTATTTATTGAGACTCTGTCTCCAAAATAAAACAAAAATCCCAGTTAATTAATTAATTAAATGTTATTCAGATTTATATTCAGAAGGATGAATAGTTATAGTAGTTGAATGACTATTGAAACTTACTTACCTTTGTAAACTTTGCCATCAACTTAGCCAGCTTAAAAATGCTATTGCATGTATTCATATATAAGTTGCATAGTTTAACTTTTGCTTACCTTATAATATTGGCTTTAAAAGACTAGTTCTGCATGCTATGTGTAGAAACTTAATTTTCTCAGGTATGCTGTGCACATCTGAAAATCAGTCTTTAATACTTTGTATTGTAGCTATACAAATCAACTAATCAAACATTTTGTCTAATGTAGGAAGCAAAACGGGAACAGAATTATTAAGAGAAAACCAGTTATGACATTTGTGCTTAAGTAAAATCTAATCTCCCCCCGCCCCGCCCTCCCTCCCCCCTTCTCTCTCTCTCTCTCTCTCTCTCTCTCACACACACACACACACACACACACACACACACACACCCAAGAAGGAAAATATTTGCCGTCCAAAAGGTTCAGTTTCTACTACACAAAGAGTTCTTTAAAATCAGTACATTTTTCCCTCAACACACACTTTTTATCTTTTTATTTAACGGGTAAAATAAATTTTAGATCATTTAAAAATATGCAAAATAAAAAAAAGTGGCAGGGATGTAGTATATGAATAGCTCTTAAAGACTCAGATACAACATAAAGAATTTGGTGTTGGGAGGTTTTGCTGAATAAGTATCTTTAGCTGCAGTTGTAACAAATAATCATATGAAATGTGAGATTTGTTAATCTCCTCCCTTCTCTTTCTGCTTCTCTTCCCTCCCCTTCTCTCCTTCTCTGCTCTCTTTCTCTCTTATTGCCTTCCAGGCTATTCTTGAATATAGAATGTTCCTGCCCTAGTCTTTCTTGTACTAGGATTATAAGGGTACAATAACACATCAGTGTAGGTTTGAATGTTTTAATGATTAATAATAGTAACTTCATATAACATCCGCTGTCAGGCATACAGCACTTTTCATATTTTAGCTTACTTTACCCATTCTAATTTTGTTAATTAAAATTTGAAGACTCAGTCATACTTCTAGTTCCTCCCTTTTATTTTTGATGCATAACTGTGTGGTGACAATTGCTTGTTCTTAGCATTGTTGGAGTTGCATTATATGCTGCTTGTGTTTGAACTTCCTAAAATCTATAAAACAAGCACAGAAAAATGGCCTGAAATGATCTCTTTTGAATGTACATTTTGGTTATCTTTGAGACTGTCTGCTTAAATATTCTTTCACCTTAGTCTTAAAGTTTATTAACAAACTATATCTTCATATATCCTGTAGATACTAAATTAAGCCATTGTTTTTATTGTAGTATTAAAAATTTTTAATTTTGTTTTCAGGACATCATCAATTGTATAGGTGGGTTAAATGTACTTTTTCCTATCCTGGAACAAATAAGCCACTTTATTGAAGGACAGACTTCTGAAGTAATGAATGACAACACAGTTCCTGAATTAATAGCACCGATTGAACAGGAATGTATGGCATTGTCCTCCACAAAGGCATCAGGTAGTTAAATTATATTAGCCTAAATTAGTCATTTAGAAAGTTGAGAATTAGTTGGAAAATAAAATGCCATACCACTTAATTAAGTGGTATAAATAATTATTTATAGCTCTTGTAGCTTCCCTACTGAACTGCCATCATTCAGTAAATTTATAATACTTTTGTTAAAACACTGAAGATAATAATTTTATTTTTGATTATCTTAAGTTTATGCTCTAGTGGAAATAAAACCTACTACATTGTTAAATCATGCTAAAGGAAGTATTTACATATGGATACAATTATAATGTAAGCAGTTGTTGCTTTTTCTGATTTCATTGTATAAATGAGTCTTAGAAGCAAGCTTCTGAATTAGATTGCTTCTTTGTTGCAATGTGTATTATGACATAAATACAGTTATATCAAATTAATGAGAATGATTGTGATAATGATGTTTTCCTGTTTTTACAGAGTCAAGACTAGAGAAAAATCTAGTTGCAACATTTATCTTGATTGTGAAACACTTTATTCAGAGGCATCCTATCAACCAGGACAATCTTATTCAGTCCCATGGGGTTGCAACTCTTGGTGCCTTACTTCAAAAGGTAATCAAATTTAACATGACGTTGATTTATTAAATAATGATCATGAATGGCTATTGTGATTTTATTCCTATTAATATATGTTACTAATGATTTCTGTATTACAACTCAAGTTGTATTAATGCATGTGACTTGTTTCACAGGCATCTTTTAAAAATTTTAATAGAATAATACAGATTACTTATGTAAGAATATATGTTCTTTTTTAATTTCATTTTACGTTCCAACTACAGTTCTCCCTCCCACCCTTCCTCGACTCCTCCTAAGTCACTCTTCCATCTAGTCCTCCCAATGGGTAAGGATTCCCATGGGGAGTCAACAGAGTCTGACACATTAAGCTGGGGCAGGACCAAGCCCCTCCCCACTACATTAAGACTGAGCATGGCATCCCACCATAGTTAATGGGCTCCAACAAGTTAGGTCATGGACTAGGGATACATCCTGGTTCTGCTGCCAGGATAGTTCAAGCTTCACCACTGCCTCCCACATATGGAGGGCCTAGTTCAGTCCTGTGAGACTCCACAGCTGTTGGTCTGGAGTTCATGTGTTTCCTTGAGCTTGGTCCAGCTGTCTCTGTTGATTTCTCTATTTTTATCCTGACCTCCCTCTCTTCAATTGGATTCCCAGAGCTCAGCCTGGTGCTTGGTTGTAGATGTATATTTCCTTAGTTGCTAAATACAAATTCAAATGAAAGGTGTTTGAGAACAAGAAGACTCTGTTTCACAGTGCTGATAAATTGACATTGACTGTATGCATACATTCATCAGGAAGTCCTCTGACTGTTATGAGGGACAAGAGAGCTGTTTGCTATGAATGAAATAAAAGTCTGTCTACAACAGCTAGGGATTGTTAAGTTCCAAGACTAGTTCTTGCCATTTGCCCAGAAAAAAAATTTGCAGTTTTCTGCATCAACCTTCTGAGTGCTAAGATTATATATGTGAAGTCATGCCTGACCTGATATATAAAGACAAATTTCTAGTTTAACATGGTTTCAGATAAGTCTCAATTTATAAGGAATAACTAAAGCAAATTGCAAGGCCACTTTAATTGGAAGCTTATTGTATATACCACAATTTAGCTCCTCTCCTGTGTTTTTTTAAACTTTAGTAGGTGTTGAAATGGCCCCATCATAAGAAGTTCTGGAAAGGCAGGGGAAGCATTACAAGAGACACATGAGGTCAGCATGCCACTTTACCATGGTAGGTTTTCTCATAGTGACAGTGCTGGAGAGAAGACTCCTTGTGGAGAAAGCTGGTGACTGGTTAATCCTGGCATTTGGAAAGTATAGGCAGACTGGTTTCTGTAAGATTGAGGCCATCCTAGTCTATATAGATAGAGAGTCCTAGGACAGCCAGAACTCCATAGTAAGATCCTACTATTCATAAAAGAACATGAAAAATAAGTTAAGCTTTATGTGGCCATTTTAAATAACCAGTAGGCAGTATGTGGTGGTGCACAACTTTAATACCGGCACTTGGCAGGACAGAGGCCAGCCTGGACTACAAAGTGAGTTCCAGGACATCCAGAGCTATACAGAAAAACCATTTCTTAACAAATTAAAAAGGAAAAAAAAAGAAGGAAGGGTCTTATATATGAATGATGAATCTTCTATATCTGGTCTGATGCTCCTACCACTGAAAGACTGCCATTTAGTGTCAGAGGTATTAAGAAATTATTGAGGTTATTTCATGTAGCCAAGAAGAGAGTCTTGTTTAGTCAACTTAAGATCTCCTTTCACATGGAGAAGTATACAGATCGACTTAGGAGGCCTGTTTATAAAGATCAGACCAGACTACTGGCCAAATGAGCAAACAGAGGCACATAGAAACACTGATATTGAAAGGATTCCTATTTCATACCAGTTTTGATATGGTCAACCTAGGGTCCCAGTATGCACAGTTTGTAGCCTGCTTTATGGGGAGCTACTAGTTTATTGTTCTTTTGAAACCCTCTACGAGATCATCTTATAATGTCATTGAGATATTTGCTTACAAAGTTGGGTTATAAGGCCCCAGTAAAAGTCATTTTCTTGGGTTCAATTTACTCATCAGAACAGAGGCATTGGGAAAAATGAACACAATCATGTCCACCTCACAGTGTTGTGAAAGGAAAGGTATGGTGGAAAAACGGTGATACTGGTTAAGGGTTAAAAGCCACTAAAGTTACCACTATACCTTTCAGTGGGCCCTGGAGAGAGGAACTGTGAGTGTGAGAAAAGATATGTCCTCACTCCATGTATAGTGATTGGATTTTATTGGTCTGTCTATGGGAGGAATAATTCTTCTTTCAAGTTTTCTGGAGAGAATTTTCTTTTTTATTCATTTTATTTTTGTGTGTATTGGTGTTTTGCCTGCATGTATGTCTGTGTGAGAGTGTCAGATCCCTTGGAACTGGAGTTACTACAGTTCTTTCTGGAATTTTTGGGTTTTGATTTTTGTAGTGTGAACCACAAAGATACACACACACATACACACACGCACACACACACACACACACATATATTAAAGGGGTGCTGGGAACAGCAGACTCTCAGAATTGGGGATCAAGTGAGCTGGGAACACAGGCTGCTTCATGCCATGTAACTCCGGTCTTCATAACCCAAGAAAGCACACACGACTTCTCTTTCTCCTTTTAAGAGATCATGTTCACAGACAGGAAGCCACACCTTAAAGCCGGTACCCCAAAGCTGTTGGTAGAATGAATTCCTACAATAGTTCCCCGTTTTGTCTAAATAATAAGATTCTAATCCTACCATAAAAGCATTTACAATAAGAACAAATATCAAGTGTTGTCTAGGAGCATGAAAGGGTAGTAACATACACAAAATGGAACTACAACCAACAAGTACATCAAGAAAGGAACACATACTTAGATGTCTAGGCTATAGGTAATTGGCAAATAGCAGAGATAATTCCAAAACTTGTCCTATCCTGAAGAGTCTAAGTTTTATAACTAATATGCCTTAGCTAAGGTATGAGAGGTTAGTAACTGTGACTATCTAGTCCTTAACCCCATAAAAGCCCTTAGAAGGAAAATAACTTTACTTGCGTAATCAGGAAGTGCAAGCAAATGACTTCCAAAAGTTATAAGAAGTGATAGAAGCAGCTGGCTGTACAGCTGGACAGTCATCCAAAGTCTCTTTGTAATGTTGGGGCAACCAATTTTGGCTATAGGCCTAGAATATCTGACAGACTATTTTCAGAAGCAGGAATATTCAAAAGACAGCCCTACTCTTTCTTGACAAGGTTAAGCAGTTGCTTACCCTTGTATCCTGCT